AATGGACCTGTACTTGTATAGCATCTTTCTAGTCTTCCGACCACTCAAAGCGCTTTTACACTACGTGCCACATTCACCCTTTCACACACATTCACACACTGATGCTATGCATCAGGAGCAATTTGGGGTTCAGTATCTTGCTCAACGACCCACTCTGCCTCTGAGCCACAGCCGCCCTGTCTGTCCGTCTGTGCACCGCTACATATTTTGGCGAGCCAGCCAGGAGGGTGATCCAGTCAGTGGTCCATCCGGAAGAGGTCCATCCGGAAGAGATGAACCTGGATCAGCAGTAGGAGAGAAGGGAACCATGGAACAATTACAGGACGAAGTAAGCAGAACACTGTTGACGTTGGAGAAGTCGGAGCTCATCTCTGTGTGCGAGCACCTAAAGTGTAGTGAGCCATCGGGAGGGTTTGCAAGCCAAGCTCGACACACCCTCATCAGGTTGGCTGAGAGAACTTTAGATGACATCGAAGATGAAGAGGACTCAGAGTAATTTCAACAGTTGCTTCAGCGTCTGCTGTCCATTGTGAGTTCCCTAAAACTGTCAAAGTCAAATCCATCAGAAACTTTACAGAATGAGACAAGTGAGCTAGACACCCTGAAAGATAAGTACAAGAGGTTGCAGCAGGAACAGAATGAAGCCCGACAGCTGTTGGAGGAGGAAATTGGGGTGTTAGAAGAGAGACTAAAAATAAAAACACAGGTAGAGGATGCCAGGACTGCCACGGCACTGCCGACCACACTGCCAGAGGTGACTCTGAGGCGGGAGTTTCAGATCTGTGGGCAGATTGGAGAAGCTGGTCAGAAAGACAAACTGTCCTATACAAGCCTCATTAACCAGATGGACTCTGGACAGCGTAAAGGACATGCTGAAGCTGAGATTATTAAAGCAGTCATACGTGCAGTAAGTCCAGGCCTTCATCTGAGGGAGATGCTTGAAATAAAGAGGGGACTGACGCTTCCCACACTGAAGACCATCCTCCGTGGTCATTTTAAAGTGGACTCCTCCTCAGATCTGCTGCACCGGCTAATGAACATCTCACAGGACCCAAAAGAATCTGCCCAGAATTTCCTGTTTAGGGCAATTGAACTGAATGTTAATTACTGTGGAAATCAAGTGATGAGGATGAAGGAGAGCAATTCAGCCCAGAGCTAATTCAGAGAAAATTCCTTCGATCTGTAGACACAGGACTGTTGAGTGATGCCGTTAAGTTCCAACTTAAGCCTTACCTTAGTAGTCCTTCTGTAACAGATGAGGTGTTAATTGAGCGTGTAAGTGAGGCTGCAAACCTAGAGCAGGAAAGACAACAAAAACTGAGAAAAGTAGTCATGAGTAGGCCTCCAAGACTCCAAGAGTGAGGTACAGGCCGAGGTGTATCCACATGACTTTCAACCACCTCTTAGAGGAGAAACTGAGATTAACGATGACAGAACAGACACGGTAAACGACAGGGAGAAAAAGAGTAAGAAAAATCAGGGGCGAAACACAGAGCAGGAGACAGGCACAAGCCAACTCATAGAAGGGCTAAAAGCTAAAATTAGTGCTAGAAACAGTAGAGGCTACTAAGAAAAATCAAACTGAGAGAACCACCACTCAAGCCGTAGGAGACTCAATGGTTGCAGAGCGTGTCAGGAAGCTCAGCTAGAGGAATCCTGCAGACACTGTTATAGGTGTGGCCAGGAGGGGCATCTTTCCAGAGGCTGTCGACGGAGTAGAGAGCAGCAGGGAAACTGGAGAGGGCTGCTCAGCCGGGACCCTCAGTAGCCCATGACTCCCCTTCCAGTCCCACAGAGCAGAGAACTGTCCCCCCTGGCACACCTCCTCAAACTACAACAGTCAACTACCTTCCACCTCGGCGCAAAGCAAGACTCCTGAACCTTATTGGTAAGAGATGCATTGTCCATTGTCAGTTGGACGCAGTTCCAGTAGAAGCATTTTGGGACACAGGCGCTCAGGCGTGTCTCATTAATGAGGAGTGGAGAAAACTGAACTTACCACATCACACATTGAGACCTCTCGAAGAACTATTAGAGTCAGAGACACTGATTGGGCTAGCTGCAAACCAGACACAAATCCCTTTCCTGGGTTGGGTGGAAGTGGAAGTTAGACTAGGCAAAGACTCAGCCTCTGCAAAGCCACTGCTAGTACCCATTCTTGTGTCTAGCGACCCAAATGTAGCAGAACAGCCCATAATTGGCTACAATGTGATAGAGGAAGTATTAGGGGAGGAGGTCATGCAGCACTCAAAGTCAGAGACCATCAAAAAAGTGTGTGAAGCCTTTTCGGTAACATTCAAAACAGCACAGGCAATGCTTAAGCTCATCCAGACCTCAGATAGTGGTGGAGATGTAGGCATTGTGCACACAGGAAAAAGAAGAATCCATTTAGCCGCTGAACAGGTCACCATTGTCTATGTTAAAGCTAGTACTGGGGCCCAGTTTAAAGGTCAGGACCTTCATTTAGTCCCAAGTGAAGAGCCTACACTACCAGAGGGTGTCACTATTGAGGAAGGTCTCATCACTGTCCCCAATGATAGGTCAGGGTATGTACTAATCCCCATTGCCAATACAAATAGGCAGGACATTACCTTAAACCAGCGGACAGTCCTTGGTCACCTACAAACATTTAAAACCACTTATGCTGTGAGAACAGAACAGATAAACATAGGTGAGAGAGGAAAACAACAAGAGGGTAAAGAAAGTAACACAGTACCAACTGAAGTGGAAAGTCCATTAAACAGTGACAGGACAAAAACACAGAAGCCAACTCAGTGGGACCCCGATGTTGATCTCAGTCACTTAAGTGATGTCCAAAGAGAGACTGTGAGACAGTTACTGAGAGAGGAGTGTCATGCGTTTGCCTACAATGAAGATGACATA